GTTGTGGAGGCTGCACGTCTGACAGCATGACCTGCACATGGTCAGGTTCCGTGTCTGGGAAGGTCCTGCCTCCTGATTCATAGATGAGCATCTTCTCACATTGGAGAGAGGGAGCATGCTCTCTCCAGACTCTTGGAAATTGTTATGTCTTTGTTCACAGGCATCACTTCGGGAATGCGGATTTGGTCTGCCAAAACTTCACACATAACAGAAGATTACACATGTAAGATTGAATTCCGGGAGGGTAAAGAGACAAAAGAGAGGTAATGGTTTGGTGAAGCCAGGGAGAGGCAGTGAAACTGTGGTTAAGTCCAGCCAGCCTCCACCCTTTCCAGATTTTGAAGGGAGAATGCCAGCATTTTAGTGCAAATGCTACTAAAAGCTTCATGCAGTGAATCTCAGTTTGAAAAAACTAGCAAAGCTTAAGCGACCCCCCTGCCCCCACAATAACCCACCGCCACTCTCCTCTCTCTCTCACCAGAATCATAAAACTAATGATTTTGCTGCAGACTTCAGAATGATCTAAAATGGAAAAGCCAGTTAGAGGCCTTCAAAGATGTGAAAAAAATCAAAACATTGATCACTTTAGAGTGGAGGGTGTAGCTCAGTGGTAGAATGTGTGCTCAGCATGCACGAGGTCCTGGGTGCAATCCCCAGTACCTCCATTAATAAACAAACAGACCTAATTACCCCCCCACCAAAAAAAACATTGATCACTTTGGCAGGTCTCAGCTTGGCGCATGGAGCGTGGAGTTACTGCCTAGATTCCAGGAGGCCCAGGACTTATCCCTGCAGGATGGGATTTGAGCTGTGAGTAGGCAACTTGCAGAAAGAAAGGTTAACTTTTTTAACCTTTTAAAATTTTATTTATTTTCTTTTTTTAGGGGGTGGTAATTAGGTTTTTATTTATTTATTTATTTCTTAATGGAGGCACGGAGGATTGAACCAAGGACTTGTGAATGCTAGGCAAGCACACTACCACTGAGCCACACCCTCCCCGCTGTATAATCTTTTTATTTCAAAATGCTGTTAAGACTAGGATGAATGGAGAGAATTTGTACCAGTTCTTTGAACATATTACCCACTTTTTACAATCATCCATCACAATATTAGCAGTTACTCCATCTTCTTTTTAATGTCAGTTTTAATGAACCAATTAAACATTTTCTGACTCTGTTCTGACGTTTCTTCACCATTTCTTCTGCATAATCCTTACAGTTCTCCCCAGCATTAAGCCCCACTCAAGGCTGAACCAGGAGACCCATAACATCATACCTCACGTCATTCCATCTCCACTTCTGTCACAGCACCAATCATCAGCTGGCTCGGGGGATGGAGCTAGGAGGTATAGCATTGAGTGACTCTTAGGCTGTGATCTATAGCCCCCACAGCCTCTAGCTGCTTCTCTGCCTTTATTTTTGCTACAATAAGGGGTGGGAAGAAGCAACTGAGGAGCCATTCTCTTGGCTGACATCCCTTCAGCATATTTCCTCTGTGATGGACTTAGCACGGCCTACAGACTCCAGGTCTCACTCCCGTTCTTCCTCCTCATGAGTGCAGCACTTTTGCAGACCCAACCCCGTGACGGCCTGGAGACCAGCCTGTTAACAAAGTCCTTCCTCACCACCCTCCGTCATCTTTCTTTCTGCACAATAACCCCTTAGTCGTTATTGGAATCAGGATAAGGGGGTTGTATCAAATATCCCAGTCTTATCACCAAGTGCAAACATTTCATGAGTATTACAACTGAAAATACTTGCAAGACTCCATACAGCAGACTCGTGTGAGGTTTTCTTACAAGAAAAGGATGCCACGTAGGAAGACAAAGAAAAAGCAGGACTGCTTTGGGGTTCAGAGACACCCAGGCAGTTTCCCGGACTCTTATTCACACAGTGCCATGATTCACTCCCAGACTGAGCCGCAGGTATCTGAGTGGTGAAGCCTGGCTTCAGGAGAGCTCAAGTCGGAAGATACCAGCAGGGATTTTTATGCCTTTCTGGTAGAGTTGAGCCAGACGGCCTAACCATTATGCCAGTCAGAAACCATCAGCAACCAAACTCACCCTAGCTTTGTCCCAGGATTTCTGGATGTTAAACAACCCACACTTAACAGGGAAACTTACAGAAAGAATGACTACATTCGAAGGGAGTTTTCAAATGTCACAGTCTGCCTTAACAGAAAGGAGAAATGAAATCCTACAGGCAACCCTGTTTCCTTCACCATCTCTCTCCTCATGCCCTGGGAGGCAGGGCAGCAAAAACTGGCAACCAAACATTAAAGCTCTTTCAACATGAGTCACTAGGAACACTGGCTAAGTCACGAAACCCACATCTCTGGAATCCTAGGTCTCCATCTTTTCAGGCCCCATTTTCCTGCCTGCCCAGCAAGACCCCTGACCTGAACCATCAAGAGCCTAAAGGAATCCACAAAATGCTTACATTATTTGCCCTGCAAGTGACATCAGCCATAGGAGAGACATAGCCCTCCCATCCCACAGGATGGGGATACCTGAGCAGTGCTTTAGCATGGGACATCCCTCTAGGGTGTTGTAATCTCTCCAGCCACTTATTACTCACAGCCTATATTTCAGTGCCAGTATAGTTTCCACCTGGCTCCTGTAAGTCTTCCAGCCAGTGATACCTGCATATCGAATTCTGAACGTGGGCTCCTTGGCAGGTACCAGAGGACAACTGCTTCTTAATTATGCTTGGGAATATGAAACGTTCTCTGGGAACCAGGGACCAACTGCCCCTCTTCATACTTCAGGACTCAAAAATAAAACCAGCATCCAGGCCCAGTGATGTGTCTCACACAGCCCAAAAGTCTTTCTGAGACGGCCTTGGGTGGCAATGCAAATTAGGCCAGAAATGGATCGCTATTCTTTGCCACCGTACTGTCCGCTCTGAGGCACAGAAAACTGGGGATCCCCACATATTTGTTTATCCTTTTGTGCTGGTAGGACACAACTGTGTCCTCCACAGACCCCACACAATGAACAGAACCCTCATGATGGAAGGTAGCACCAATAAGGACTTTCTGTGTAGCACAGGGAACTAAACTCAATTTCTTGTAATAACATATAATGGAAAAGATTCTAAAAAGAAAAAATATGTATGTATATGTATATGTATAACTGAATCACTTTGCTGTACAAATAAGTTTACATAATTTAATTTTTGCAAGCCAAAGGAAAAAAAAGAAAAATTAAAGGTGGCTCAAAGAATAAGGACTTTATTGTGTGCATACGGGCAAATGCGAGGCTCACAACTGCAGATGAGACCGAGAGATGCACGTTGGCGAATCTCTGCAAGCTCCTGGAGAATCCATCTGATGTGCTGATTCTTTCCAGGCCGAAACCAGTCAAGAGGGTGAAAATGAGGCCCCCAGCAGGCTACTGAGGCCAGTCATGACTCCTTCCAGGGACCAGGGAGACAGCAGAGGGCTGCCTGCCCACACGTACTGGCTAACTGACACATGCGCTGGCACTTTGCAGATGGGAACTGCAGGATGGCTTATACCACCAGCAGAGGCACTTGACAGGTTAGAACATGCACCACAGCTCCCGAAAGCACCACACACACGTGGCACTACAGGGAACCCTCCTGTTGCAGAACTTTCAATCTCTGAGGGTTCGCTGACTGATGGCCCTTTGCTCTGGGGAGAGCTGTTAGGCTGAGCGAGGAGACAGCACATTCCTGGTACAATCCTGTGTCCAGCATAGACTTCCTGTGCCGAGTAAGGTCTGGTCTTCAGGTAAAGGCTCTCCTACGTCTGCCGCGCTCTTAAGCACCACTAGGAATTCTCAAGTGGGCAGTAAGTTGGGAACACTGGCCAAAAGATGTCCCATGTTCACTGGCCTCTCAAGGCTTTCCTCCCGTGTGAATCCTCTGGTGGAGAACAAGCGTGTACTTGCGACTGAACTCTTTCAAACCACATTCGCTGGACACGTATGGCCTCTCTCCAGTGTGCACCTTCCAGTGCCAAATAAGGTTTGGCCTCTGGGTAAAGGCTCCCCCACAACTGCTGCACTCGTAAGGCTTCTCTCCAGAGTGAACTTTCTGGTGCTGACTGAGTTTAGAGATGCAGTTGAAGGCTTTCCCACACTTGCTGCACTCATAGTCACTGCTACGAATTCGCCTGTGCACGTTGAGGTGGGAGCTGTGGCTGAAGGACTTCCCACACTGGCTGCACTTGTAAGGCCTCTCTCCAGTGTGGGTTCTCTGGTGCAGAATCGGCGTGTGCTTGCGGCTGAGCTCTTTCCCACACTCGCTGCACATGTACGGCCACACTCCTGTGTGAACTTCCTGGTGGCGAATGAAGTTAGACTTGCTGCTGAAGAACTTGCCACAGTTACTGCACTGACAGGGCCTTTCCCCTGTGTGAACTCACCTGTGTTCAACAAGGCCAGAGATCTGTCTAAAGAATTTCCCGCATTCGCGGCACTCATACGGCCTCTCACCAGTGTGGACTGTCTGGTGTTTGAAAAGGTCACAGCTTTGGCTGAAGAATTTCCCACATTTGCTGCACCTGTGACGCTCTGCCAGGTGGTAAGGGCTCCCCCGAGCTCCGTGCCCTTGGGGGGCGTCATCCTGCTGTGAGGGCCCTGGTGCTGAAGCAGGTCTGAAGGGGCTGGAAAGTCCATTCCACCCGCAGTGCGTATGTAGGGCTTCTCCAGCACACATACTCTGCAGCTTCTCATGAAGTCCCTGCCCTTGCCCCTCCTGAAGAATTTCTCTCCTCCATGCTGCCCCTGGTGCTGGTGACGGTCTGTGCTGAACCAGAACTGCTCCCCACACGCCTCACATGTGTGTGGTTTCGGGCTGGCTTTGCCCCCTGGCATTCAATCGGGTGTAAGATGTCTTTCAGTGGCAGGCCAGACACATCGCACAGGTGGGTCTTCCGACCTGCCAAATGGGTCCTGATCTGTGACACTCCTTCTGAAGAAACGCTCTGCTCAGAGGACACAGCCTCAACCTCCACTCCACACCAACAACCTGAAAGTAGAGAAGGGCCTGATGAGATGCATGCTGACTCTGGTGGAGGGTAACCCTGTCAGACATAGGTCTGACACCTCCTGGGTAAGTCTATGGGACTGATGGTCACGGAATTGGGGAGGCCTCCGGAAGGCAAGGATATGAGGGCAGAACACAGCCAACAGCTTCCAGCAGGATGCTGGCTGTTGTGACACATGAGTGTTAGGCAGAGAGCATGTTCAGGCGCAGGAAGATCCAATGACAAGTGAGTAGCTGGTGTTCAAAGGCGACCTGAGGACATGTGTGCATCTCATGACACACTGAGTGCAGGCTGATGTTAGATACAAATGACTATGCACAGAACAGATAAACGAGGTCCTGCTGGACAGCACAGGGAACTATGTTCAATGGCCTGTAGTAACCTGTAATTAAAAAGAATGTACCAGTATGTGTAACTGAATCAATATGCTGTATACCAGAAACTAACACATTATAAATGAATTATACTTCAATTGTAAAAAATGGGAAAAAAGAAGTATAGGCCAATATTGCAGAAGAATGCAGACTGAGCAGGGAAGAGGGAGGTGCAAGGGAGAAGCCACATGCTAGAAGTCAGACCTGAAATAAGTCTCAGTGTCAGGAACGGGGTAGGACAGGTAGAAATGTCACGTGGCCAGAGGCCTTGAAACCAAACACTGGTGGGGACAGTCAGTACTTCTGGATTTGAACCCAGACATGGCATCATGTCCTTCGCTGGTGTCCACTCACCAGATCCAGGTCTGGGCTGAGTCTCTTTCTCTGTGGCTGGTATCAGATTGAGCTGGCCAGGCACCCAAGGCTCACCCCGTTGCTGCAGCTGAGTGACCGAATGTGAACTGGAGGATGTGATGCCTACAGGAAACCCAGGACAGGTGAATATCGGCTCAGAGCAACCCATCCTGTGACAGACCACAAGATAAAAAAAAAGTAGTTATTACAAAAAGAACCTTGAAGAAAGGTTCTGCAGGAATCCAAAGGTCTCTGTAAGCTAAGTGGTGACTCTGTGAGTGCCTGTAACTCCTGGTACAGTTGAGCCCCAGAAAATGTCACCTGGAGGAAGGAGACAGAATCCTGGACACAGAGCTGTCACAATTCTGGACAGAAGTGACCAAGACTAGCGGGATCTGCTGGGCAAACCCTGTCTTGTGACCCCAAAACCTTTGTCTACACAGCTTCGTGGGTCAGTAAGAGGTGAGGAGACTCCACAGAGCTTAGCCCAGGCACCCGCTTCAGGGAACAGCTGGAAAGCAGTGCCCATGATCTGATGGTGGGAAGGACACAGTGGTCCCTGGGGAAAAGGAGAAAGGAGATGGGGCTGGGGGAGGATCTTACCCAGGGAGGCTAAAAGTGCCAAGCTCTCCAGCATCATGTCCCAGTACAGGCGTCTCTGAGCCTCATCAAGGAGCCCCCACTCCTCCTGGGAGAAGTGCACGAACACGTCCTGAGATTACACAGCCCTGCAAAGATGGGACAGCAAGGTCCATGAGAAGTCTCTTGACTGAGAATCCCCACTCTACCTACCACCCCAGGTGCCCAGGTCAGAGGAGGTACCAGGCATTGGTACCAGGGGTCCTCGCACTCTCCTGTGTGCCCCATGGTCACTGCATCAGCCCGCAGCAGCAACAAGCGGCTGGGAGGCAGATGCCCACCTCCTCTCCTGTCAGCCGGTCCCCCTGTGTACCCCGTACCAGACTTCCTAGACGCAAGCCTGGGCTCGCTCTTTTCACTTAAGCCCTCAATAACAGGGTCCTAGGACAATCAGTTTAGGCCCCTTTCTCACATGCACATTATTGGACCACGCTTCCCCCACGTCTTCAGCTACCTACCACCAACTTTCCGGCCCACACCATGGATATCACCCTGGACTGCCCACGTGTCACTCTGCACACTGCACGGAGAGAACGCTGGGAGACAGAATCACGATCCCATCTTGTCCCAACCTCCAATGGCCCCTACCGCCAAAACCCCCATTTTGGCTTTGAAGGCCTCCCAATCTGGCTCCTTTCCTTTCTCCAGTCACAGACGCTCAGAACTGCATGCACACCTCAGTTACCCCCCGCCCTCCTCCACATCTCAGGTGCACACTCTGTTAGTTTCCCGTTGCCGCTGTAACAAATCGGTGGTTTAAATCAACAAAAACTTATCATCTTATATCTAGAGGCTGTGAGTCCAAAACGGGCTTCCCTAGGCTAATGACAAATCAAAATCAGCATTATAGTCCTTCCAGCAATTCCGCAGAAGAAGCTGCTGCCGTATCTTGTCTAGCTTCTGAAAACCTCCTGCGTTCCTTGACTCCTGGCCCCTTCCTCCATCTTCAAAGCCAGCAACTACACCATTCTGACCTGCTTCCTTCCTCAGCTCTCCTTCTTTGACTCTGATCCTCCTGTGATTTTACTGGGTCCACTGGATAACCCAGGATAATCTGTCCATCTTGAGATCCTTAACTGAATCACACACATAAAGTCCCTGTTGCCATGTGGGATAATATATCCAAAGGTTGCCAGGAGGTGGGGGTGGGGGTACAGCTCAGGGACAGTGTGTGTGCTTGGTGTGCACGAGGTCCTGGGTTCAAACCCCAGTGCCTCCGTCAAGGGGTAGAAGAGGTTCCAGGAATTAGGAAACGGACATCTTTGGGAGACTGTTACTCTATCACATGAGGTCCCCACACCACTCAGCTTTCCTACCTACACCCCATCCTCTGAAAATGAACTTTACAGCTGATCTCTCCAGTTTGGTTGCTGGCATTTCCAGCAGCTACACCCAAAATGCTGGGTCACCTCTCCTTCCCTTCCCTCTCACAATCCACTTCAGAAGAGAAAAGCAGCCCCAGTAAAATAACAGCCTGAAAACGCCACCTCTTGTGCTGCCTTCATGGCAGTCAGCCTGGCCCAGCCCACCAATGCTCATTTACATGACTGCAGTGCCCGCCTCCCTGGTTTCCCTGTGGTGTGACCATGCGTGAAAATAAAATTCTCCAACACCCACAGCACGGAGCCAAAATGGTCAGGACTCTCGTAGAAGCTGCCCTCTTCCCTTTCACACCCACTTCCAACTTAGGGACCAGTCAGTTTTCCCATCCCGCTGCCTCTGCACCTCAGCTAAACGCAGTGACGGCACCCAACTCCCTTGCTGTCAGCAAACTCTGAATAAACGGCTATTGCTTGTTCTCATTTGGGTGGGCTTCTTTTATTTCCACACCTGCCTCTGCCCTCCCCTGCCCCTTCAGTCTGTCGTCTACTCTACAGCCAGGGGGAGTCTGCTGAGACTGCTCCAAATTCCCTGTGGCTCCCATCACCCTCAGAATGGAGGCCAAGACCCTCCGTTTGCCATTTCAGGCCTGAACCCTGCCCCTCTGTTGTCTCCGAGAGGAGGTGACCCGTGAGTCACCAGGAACTCACAGCTCAGCCTCACATCCAGGCACCTGAATGTGCCTGGGACGCCGTCCATCCCTCATCTTTCTGGGCTCGACAGGGGACCCCTCCGTGTAGTGATGGCTTGGGTTGAGCCTGCAGACACAATTTCCAGGGCAGAGGAAAGCTAAGAAGTGTAATCCCACATATTGGGAGGGTGAGGGCTTAGCTATCAGTTTAGCCGATGTCACTGGAGCAGCTGGTACCACGCCAGGGGATGGAGGCGCTAGTCCCCAGTAAATCTGCACCACAGGAAGCCAGATGGGGCACCAGAAGCTCTGCCCCGACATGACGTGCTCACAGGAAAAGGCCCCTCTCCTGGGCCACTGTTGGTGGAGAGCTGCCACCTCATGGTGCAGAACCTCCTGGGTACTGTAGTCCCCACGGCACCACCAGCCCCTGAAAGGAAGCCTAGGTGGTCACAAGGCGGAAAGCAAAGGACTTATTTATTGAGCACCTACTGTGTCTTTAGCCCACTGGTTGCTCCCAAGCCTCAGGTTGCACCTCACACCTTAGAGTCCCTGCAACCAGACCATGCTGGTACCAAAACCAGGTTCGGCTACTTGCCACTCAAAAGGCCAATATTCAAGAGACAAGTGTTGGTGGAAAAGGAAAGGTTGCTTTATTTGAGGCCATCAACCTGGGAAGACAGTGGACTAATATCCTGAGACCGTCTCCAAGTTGCTGGTTAGGAGCCTCACAAGGTCCTAAAGGCTGTGTGAGGGAGGGGCTGCAGGGGACGTGATCAGCCTGTGCTCACCTCTCAGATTAGTTGGCATCAAAGTGAAGTTTTGATCATCACCCATCTTCTGGTTTCAACCAGTCTGGGGTCTACGTGCTTGCAGTCAGCAGTTTTCATCTGGTGGGGGGCTGCTTCCTGTAAAATCTCCTGCAGGTGCTCCATATCCTGAGTGGGATACACTGGCCCTGGCTGCTCTGGAGATTCATGGCTGGTAAATCCCAGCCTCACCACTCCAATCCTGGGATCCCAGGCCAGCAGTTTCACCTCCATGATGTGAAATGAAGATAAAACCTCCCTTGCAGATCTGTGAAGTGATTTAAATGTTCCTCAAACATAAACATCCATTCATTAAAATGGCAGAAAAAAAAAGTACCAACATCTTGGTGAGGTTATGTACCAAGTGCTTTAAACAGTGCAAGGTGCACAATTAGTGCTAGATACATGCTTCTCATCACCACAGACTCGGGCCCTCAGGTACCCATGTGGTGGGAGGGGAGTCAAGGCTGTCTACTTGCAGAGTTAGGGGCAGTATCTGTCCAAAGTCACACCCTGGACCTACAAGTAGTCTTAACAGGAATGATTAAAGATTTTACAGACGAGGGGAGGGAAAGAGCTCAGTGGTAAAGCATGTGCATAGCATACATGAGGTCCTGGGTTCAATCCCCAGTATCTCCATTATGAATAAACAAACCAACCTAATTACCTCTCCTCCAAAAAAGTCTTTAAAATAAAATAAAATAATTTTGAGGAAGAAAATAATCACACATACAGAATGACGTCATCAATTTCTGGTAGCCTGTCAGCCTAGGGATACATTCTTCCAGGCAAGATGCTTCAAGATCTATACTTTTAAGAAATATTTTCCCTCAGGACTAAGGACAGCATAGGGGTGTGGCACAATTCTTCCATATCTTACTTTCAAGTTCACAAACTTTGAACTTGCATTAGGACCAGTCAGGTGGTGTTTGGCTTCCAATTCATCATGGAATCTACCACATGGTGTCTAGTGTCTGACTTCAGGGCCTGAGCTCTAGGGGGAGGCTTACCTGGGTTTGCAGCTAGTAACCCCATGGTTAAGTATGCTATATTAGGCAGGAAGTCTCACTCCTCCAAGCCTCAGTTTCCTCATTTCTGAAATGGGGAAATAATAGTATTCACAGCACATGGTTGTTGGGATTATTACCTGGGGAATTACATAACATGCTCTGGTCATTCTCCCAACAATGCTTCAAACCCTTCACACTGGGGAGAAAAGGGAACCCTCCCACACTGCGGGTGGGAATGTAATTTGGTGCAGCCATTATGGAAAACAGTATGGAGAATCTCAAAAAAACTAAAAATAGATTTACCATATGAACCAGCAATCCCACTGCTGGGCATATATCCAGAGAAAACTCTAATTGGAAAAGATACATGCACCCCAACATTCATAGCAGCACTATTTACAATAGCTAAGACATGGAAACAATCTAAATGTCCATCAACAGAGCACTGGATAAAAAAGTTGTGGTATATTCATACAATGGAATATTACTCAGCAATAAAAAGAATAAAATAACACCATTTGCAGCAATATGGATGGATCTGGAGATTGTCATTCTAAGTGAAGCCAGAAAGGCAAAGAAAAATACAGTATATCACTCATATGTGGAATCTAAAAAAAAAAAAAGGAAAAATACACAAGTGACAATGAACTTATCTACAAAACAGAAACACTCATAGGTATAGTAAACAAACTATGGTTACTGGCAGGGGAAGAAGGTGGGAAGGGATAAATTGGGAGTTTGAGATTCACAAACACTACTATATTTAAAATAGATAAAAAATAAGTTTCTTCTGCACAGCTCAGGGAACTATATTCAATATCTTGTGGTAACCTATAATGAAAAAGAATATGAAAATGAATATATGTATGTAGATGTATGACTGAAACATGCTGTACACCAGAAATTGACATATTGCAAACTGACTATACTTCAATTAAAAAAATTTTTAAAAATTTGGGGGGGTAATTAGGTTTGTTTGTTTATTTATTTGTAATGGAGGTACTATTTGTTTGTCTCATCAGTCTGTTTTTTTTTTTCTTAAAGATTCCTCACTGAAAACCTAAGTTAGGCAGAGGTAGGGTTCTACCTCCCTTACACTCACTAAAACCACAAACAACATATAGGGAGTGTGGGCAGAAACACTTCCTGTGCTGGGACAACTCATACTAAAGGAATTCTTTGGTAGGAACTTTCTGTGAGGCAAGATGCCCCCAGTGAGCCTGTCTTCAGAACATTTATTTGGTCAAAAACACAAGGAGGCTGGGATGGTCTATCACTTGGCCTTTGAGGTACATGCCTTTGGCAAGACTGAATAAAGTGAAATCACTCCTGGCACCTTCTCTTAGAGCAAGCTGTTAAAGGGTTTGAACAGGTAACACTATCAGACACCGACATCCGTGGCATCCCATCTGCTGCTGCCAGGCCAGGCTCCTCATGCCCTACACAGCCTTCTCTTCTCGCAGTCACTGGACAGACTGAATGTCTCTCCTTGGGGGGAAGTCTCAGGAACGCCCACCCTTTCCCCCCTGCCCTCAGCCACAGCCCTCCCTTCTCACCCCAAGGACCATTTGAAATAAGATGAATTAATTAAGATTAAGATCGCTATCTTTAAATCTGATGTCCAGCAAGCCTAGCCACACTCTACATCCTGTGGACATCCAACCCAGGCCCTTCTCCAGAACTCCAGATCTTCCAGTCCAGCTGCCATGTGACAATTCCACTCTGAGACATCTCAGAATCAACGATGTCCACTCTGAAATCTACTCCCTAGTTTGACTTCCTGATTTCCAGGTTCAAGATGTCCATGAAAAATACCAAAAACAAAATCAAATAAATTTAAAACTTGTTTTTTCGCTCACTATCAATCACAGCCACATCTGATGCAGCAGTAAATACTGCCTGCTATATCTTTAAAATCTATCCAGAACCCGATCACTCCTCCCCGCTTTCCTGGCACTACTCTGGTCAATCCACCGTCAAAACATCTCTGGAAGCCGCGGCAGTAGCCTCCTTACCGGTCTTACCCATCCTCATATTCCTTGCCCCAACCTAATACAAAAGGGTGGGACACTCTGCTCCGTGCTGATAGGACACGACTCCCCGGATCGCCCGAAGGCCTCTGGCTCAGCCCGCCCTCCAGGCCTCCGCACCTGCGGGCCCCCCGCCCGGGGGCCTCTCCCCGCGCCGTCACGCCGTCTGCCAGAAACACGGCCCCGCCCGCGGGCGCCTCCCCGGCCTGGACCCCGGGGCCCGGGCCGCAGGCACGC